AGCTCACTACAATGTAAATTATCCTTTGGTGTTGCGATGTATTGTATTTAAAGAAAATGATTTTATGCTTTGTAGAATTATATCAAAAACCGTCTATCTTTTAAATTCTATGTTTTTCATTTAATAGCTTAATAATGTGTATTAAGATGCTGTTATTTGACATTTTATTAATGATATGGCGCCTGTTTATGAGACTAGAGTTTCTAATATCAATAAATATAGAGACAGTATGACCTCTTGTTGTTGTGATAAAATAAATTCAAAAAGGTCAGCTATTATCTGCCTTCATTTTGATGTATCTCGGTCGCTAAAAGACGCAAAATCTTATCAGGATGACACCAAGCTCAATTTTTGCAAAATTAAATGGTAAACAAAGCAATAACAAAAGTATTAATGTTCTATACTAAATGGTAAACAAAACAAAAACAAAAGTATTAATGTCCTATACTAAATGGTAAACAAAGAAATAACAAAAGTATTAATGTCCTATAATAAATGGTATACAAAGAAATAACAAAAGCATTAATGTCCAGTACTAAATGGTATACAAAGAAATAACAAAAGCATTAATGTCCGATAATATATTGTATAGAAAGCAATAACAAAAGTAATATTGCAGCGTACAAAAATATGTCTATCACCATGTCGTTTTGTGTTTATTCTTACTTCTAACTTCATAAGGCACTTTATGTCAATGGATTTTTTCAACCTTAAAATGCTAGTACTGTTTTAAGCTATTGAAAATTTTTACAGCATGTTTATTCTGTTTACATTTTCCATTACTTGCGACTGATTTAAATACTTAATCATAGGATGTAAATATAGCTTTTGTCAGAAAATTTAATTTATGACGTCGGGTTCACTATTATTTGTAAAAAAATCGCCAGTTAAATCTGACTGTAACCCTGTCTTCGAAGATAATCATTAACGTTCCTTTTTGTGGAAAATCGTATATGTCACCTTTAAGCTCATTTTTTTACATGTATTTTTAACCTCACAAATATGTTAATTATTTAACTGATACAGTTCCTGCAAAACTTATCTTATATATTTTTTACACAGGTTTATCTTTGTTGTGGTTAAATTCAGCTTGAAACACATACTTTGTAAAATTATGTACGGGCTGCTTTAAAAAAAACAATGCTGTCACATATCATTTACACTTACAATTGCTTGTTTGTTTGTGTATGCTTTGTTGTTGTGTTTTATTGTTGCTTTTTAGTTGGGTTTTTTTTCTTGTTATAGTTGTTGCTTTTGTTGTCGCTGTTACTATGTAAGCTTGCTCGCTTTTTATCATCGTTTCATATGACTTAACTATGTGATGTTTGTTTGGAGTATTTTCTTTTCTTTTGACAGGAATATCCATGTTGTCTTACCAAAGGGTGTGCGATATTGATTTCATAACACCAAGCGGCGTGAAATAATATTAATATCATTTTACCAAAATACAGGAAATGTTATATCATCTTTACAAACAGTGTGAAGTATCGATATTATCGTATCGGAGGACGTGAGATATTTATTTCATAATTACAAAATTCCATAATGTGTTGACGTGATATCTATATATGTACAATGTATATAAAACATTTGACACCTACTTTGCGTTCTAGTTGTATTTTGTGTTGTTTATTTTGTGGGTTTTTTTTTTAATCTTTAAGTTTTAATCTAATTTCCATGTACATATATTTTGGGTTTCCTCTATTTGGATTTTGTTTATAAATATTAAATAATTTCAACAAATCGGAAATCATATTCTCTATTTGCAATTAAAACTTCTTTTTACGCTTGATGTCTATTTCTAGAAATTTGGTGTGATTTTGAAGTAATTGATCTGGTAACTATGTAACCAGAAAGCAATCCAAACATGGGTGTATAATCAAATTACACAACGCTTAAAAGGAAATCAATATTAGAAGCTCGTATTTCGACGATTTGTTTGAAATGTTAGTTTGTGAAATGTAAAAGTACCTAGATAAATGTATAGACTTTAACAAAACAAAACTAAAGCGTATAACATAGTTAAACACCGTATATTGTTATCAATTCGCTGTTAAGTGCAGAAACGTTAAAAACTATATACATTACACTGGCTCAGATAAAAACAATAGTTATGATAAAAGTCAATGAATAATATAATTGTATAATAATTTGTTTTATGTTATAGCAGTTGATATGATAAACAGATATCTCGTTCTAAGCATATGACAAAAGATAGTATACATGAGCGATGAAACGATTACACTATGAAATGCATGTGTCATAAGAATTGAGAATACTTTAAGATTTGTGTTATTGGACATTATAATATACAATGAAAATGTTTTTAATGCAATTTAATATTATAAAATTGTAACATAAGATACAAAAGTTAATCTTTAGAATTAAGTATAAAATTAAATGTTCTTATTTTATACGGTAAATAATCAAAAGTGAGCAGGCGGTTTAGTCAACAACATTCACCACTAGGACGGCTCATAAGTGTACCCTTATAAATGCTTATATTACAAAATGTCATTATTCGCTTATAATCACTGACAATATGGTTATATTATGGAAATATTATAATTATTATAAAAAAAGTTATAGTATACTATGATATATTTTAATGAAATAGTTTATTCATTAATAAGCATCCCTACAAAGATTGCAAAAATACGAGAAATAAATATTGTAAAAAAATACTTTCATAAAAGAATTTTTCTTTTTTTCTTCTTATTTTGCATCGATTACAAGCAAAAACTGATAAAACTGTGTATTATGTATTATGAAAGATGTATAGCATTACTACATCAAATTCAAATGTCGGTAAATGACAATACAGTAAAACAACAACAAGTAAAACGTTGTATAAATAATATATTATGAATGTAAAACTTGATACGTGGAACATGTAACATTATACACGATATTATTATTACCATACAACTATAATGTAAAATACCGCTAATGGAAACCGATACAGATATTGTAATATTCAATGCAAACGCTAATAAATAAACAATGCTTCACTTTAATAAAGGGAACCGAAAACCGCTTGTTATTGAGAAGTTTGACAATTTAAAAACGAAAAAATGAAGGTTTTTGCATTTTGCAAATGGTTCACAATATCTATCGAAACATTCACAATACTTAACCGTTAAATTCTGTTTGTTCTGATATAGCAATTATTGAATGTGCTTGCCAATTGCAATTGTTCCGATTTAACAATTTTATCAATTGTTTTCGTGTTCTACAACCGCTTACAAATTTCAATAATCTCCAAAGTGTGTTTTTTTAAATGGCATATTATAAGTTTGATAGGTCATAGGACCTTACTGCTGTGGGTCCGAATCCCGCCATCGTATAATTGTTTTGACAGTCGTATATATTTAATGGGTAAGAGAGAAAAAAACAAGAAAAGAAAAGAAACGTATTGGTTCGTTAACAATTCTTATATTTTGTATGCACTTCAAATGAGAGGAGTTTGTGAAGTTTAACGTTTCTTCGGGTTATTCATGCTTTAATTAAAACTTAAACTTACAAAGAATAAGCATATGTTTTTTTTCGCTTGATCACTTGTACGTATATAATCTGCTTGCTACAAAGTGATTATTCTGTTCAGTTTTGTTCTAATAATCATACAAAAAGTTTTGTTTTAAAGGTATGCTTGCGCTGTTGGATGGAAGTCTCTGGTAACTGTGTAATCAAAAAGCAATTAAAACATGGATATTTAATGAAATTTCACAGCGCATAAGAGGAAATCGATATTGTCAATTGACAACATTTTGGTTAAAGCAACTAACTTACACATGATGAATAAGGATTGTAAGAACTACGTCATAAGTAGAATTTGATAAACATGTTTGAAATCGTTAGGAAATTGAATCTAGGCAATTATTTGAAAGCTGATTTTGTAATATTTTTCCAGGACGTTATGTCGCATATATAAACTTTGTAATATGAAGGGGCTAATAATAGAGTAATATTTTATAACTGTTCTTGTTCGTTCACGATGCAATTTGAAGTCGTATTTCCTGTGCAATTTACCACTTAACATATGAACAGCAAAGTATTCAATAACATGTACATAATATTTTATATCTTACATAAAGTGCACAAATAAAATATTGAAAAATATTTAGCTTGATTCATGATATAATGATTTTTATTTGACGTCATTTAGTATACTGATATCTTATCTGACGTCATAATGATGTACTTTTGTCATAATTTTACACTGTGAAAAATCACATTGTAATGCACTCTTAATTTATAATGTGTTTACCAATGATTACAGTTGAACCGTGGGAAGCATGACTTTCAACTGTGTGTCCATTTAACACCAAAAAGTGTGAAAGGTGCTATTAGTTCCGTTTTAAACGAAAAAAAAATATCAATAAATTATCCTTTCTGATTTGTAATTTCGTCAATTAATTTATTAATTAATTTATTTATTCATTTTTTTTTTATTTTTTCTTTCTTTCTTTCTTTCTTTCTTTCTTTCTTTCTTTCTTTCTTCTATGTTTACAATGAATCAGCTATCAACAGTTCGTATAAGTTCGGAAAATTTCGTTATTGTCAGCGCATGATTGACCTATATCAAATGAGCGCCTTTTTCTTCAGAATTTCCATAGTGATGTGTGTACTAACATAGATTTCTTATTTGATAGACTCTGCTTATTTAAAGGATCTTTTTTTTTTTTGATAAATGTCCATTGTCAATTCCATATTTTTATTGTCATTTTTCTTTTAAAAAAACTCATAACATTCTTATTTTTTTACATGCTTTTCACAATGTTAACAACTAAGGGAAATTAAGCGAAACGGACGATTTTTATACGCTAATAATGCGTATAATACCTGAAGCCGTTTAAAAGAAAATGAGTAACTAACCGTAATAAATCAAATATATTACAAGAATTACATCCATAATTACAATCGCACTGGTCAGCCTGAAGAAAGACGAAGGAGAGAGATGCAGAGAATAGGAGAAGGGAAAGGGGGAGAAAACAACGTTAAATAAGTTTGGTAGAGCAGATTCTCGTGCGAGATATTAACGGCCTAGTCTAACTGAGGAAACAATTCTCTGTATAGGAAATCGAAGAGCGCGTTTCTACACTGTGAATATAAGCAGACAGCTTTTGGTTGTGAGAACGTATGGTCAACTTTTACTGTTTTCTGTATCGGACTTGGAAATAATGATTTTGGATACTTATTTTTAATTGAAGTTTTTACGTTGAATGACTAGTATAGTGGACACGCAAAGTGTGTATTTTCTTTTCAATGAAGAAAGATTGAATTATAATAATATAAAAGATGTTAAAATTGTAATAAAAATTAACATCGAAGAAACGAAACAGTAAATATTTTTGTGAAATTAAATACAATGGATAAAACTTGAAACATTGGATATTATTGATAGCATTTATGGAAAAGGTAACTTCAATGGTCTGTTTACTTTTTTCATGCATAAAATATTTCAAAAAGGATTTTATTATTTTTTCCTCTTTGAAATATTGTTTTTAAGTGTCAATAAATACACGTAAAATGAAGATCAAGCATGTAATTTTAATAATATAAAAGACTTAATGGATTGATTACTCGCAATTTCCGCCGCTTTTGAAAGCGTTCTAATCTTGATAATGCATGCGATTGATAATAGAGATGTACACATTTCATGGGCGACAGAGTATTAATATGTTGTAATTAGTCTGTAGCGTCTGACGTTGACATCGGTGCTTAAACGAAATCATGTGAATCGGTTACAAATATAACCGGAAATTAATATGCGTCCGAAACTAGTACCTTGTTAGTTTTACGTGTTTTATGTATTCATTCCAAATAACAAGAATATTCAAGAAAAGTATGCTCAAAGCGGTTGATATTTTAATGGGAATAATAAGTTTTTATCTTTCTTTTGTTATTTCAATGATTTTTCACGTTGTATGCAACGAACAGAAAAAAGTATATATAGTGTGCCAACACAAAACTGAATTTAAACTTTCTCTGTGTTTCAGGACATACTTATACTTTATCTAAACAAAGATTCGAGTTATCATCATTTTTGGTAAGTTCTCTTTTAATTTTTTTCTAAAATTTTATTCATTATAATATATATCATTAAATACAGTATATATTTTTTTTACTTATGATAGCTTATTAGGATATTACTCTATTTCTATATCTTGATAAAGACGGTAAAAACAGGATACATTTTCTCTACGTGCATTCTATATCCAGAAATAAATACGCTACGTTGGTATGTATTACAAAAATTAGCGAAGTTAGTCGGTAAAAAATAGACGGAAGTTATGAAATGTAAATATTAATCTAGTATCTTATCATTCTTTATTCCTTTCATTGGTTAAAGATTTTTTCTATTAATTTTTCTTTTTGTTCTTTTTTATTTTATTATTATTATTATTTTTTAGCATAACTTACAGTCGTTTATCTCGAATTCTTAACAGTATTACATTCCATCTTCTCTTTCCTTTTTGATTTATTTTATATAAAACACCTCTTTTACTTTCTTTCATGCACCATAACAAATAAAACAGTTTATAAATATGATTTTTTAATTAAGATGACCCAGACAAGTTTACCCTGATAATTTTTTATTCAGAAATTAAGGCGATTATCAATTTTGTGAAATATCAATATAAAACTAAAATAAATACACATTTTCCACATACTCTACTTGGTTATTGTTTACGTTTTTATGGAAATATAAACTGAGCTGCTTTATATATACCAAACTACTTTTTTCCCGCCATATAAATTAAATGCTTCTTTTCAATTAAATTCAAGAAATATTAAGGTCAATTTAAATAAGTGTCAATAATTGTTGCCAAAGTAAAATAAAATCATTTACTAGCTTATGTTCCTGGTATTCTATTTCTAAATCATTATATCTGTAGATTGATGCACTTTTAGTTTGCTAATAAATTTGAATGTTTTCCTTTAAATGAAGTTATAAATATTATATACACTTATGCATGCATTACATGCCAATTTAATTTTAGATGTAGTTTTTTTCACATATTGTAAGACAACAGTTAACAAAATGGTACAAAGCTGAAACTCATTTTAATATATCTACAGAATACGTTAGACTATGACCTGAACATAGAAATGTTTATATATTTTCTATTATATGTTTGTGTAGACACCAAAACATGTAAGTACACGATAAGAAACATCGATATTTATTTCTAAAGTTTATCTACAAGGTGCAGAAAAAGTCATTGCAGTGAGTGTGGAAATTATCACAAGGTTTACAACTGCGATTATATGTACCTGTATTGGTAGAGAAGTCATTAGCGGCAGACTTTGATCGATTTCTATATATCATAATGCAAATAAATACAATACCGCACTAGTAATAATTCAATTAGAAAAACAAATATAATGTACAAGGTATACAATAACAAAATACACCGGAATGTTTAAACATTTATGTATTTATATTTTACATCAACATTTATGTATTTATATTTCACATCTGGTCGAGGGGTTAGAGTCGATGACTTCTAATCCAGTTACCTCTCTGGCGTGGGTTCGATCCCCGGGAGATGCTTTGGTAGTTTAGCGCGGAGGAAGGTAGTCTAGTACTGGTGTAACTCTCCAGGAACGATGGTTAGGAAACTACCCGCCTATATGACTGAAATACTGTTGAAAAAGGCGTAAAATGAAACAAACAAACAAACAAAATATTTCACATCTGACGATATATATATGTATATCATTTAGTTTGACATGTAAATATCATTATTAAGAGACCATCAGGCATTACTTAGTATACGGGTATCTTGTTAAGCGAAACTTCCTATTTTGTGCCCAATAAAATTATTTTATATGTACTGAAATGTTAAAGCAAACTATATCTATTTATATAATATCGATGTGAGTTATAATTGGCCTGTAAATTATCTCTTTAGATGCGTTCCTCGTAAATAAAATGAAAATACAAAAATGTGGGTATCAACACAACACGTATTTATTTGATATTGTTTCTCACACTAAATTCATTTCTAATGCTAAGTGTAATGCACAGTTAGGCATAAATAAATCATACAATACAACAAATTGATTGAAAATAAGAAATCAGAAATATAAAAATGTAACGATATAAATTTCTAACGTTTTAAAAATGTATTCAAGTTGCTTATGTTTAAAACAGGTATTTCATAGTACACATTCTTTACCCAAACCTTAGAAGGAGTGGTTATTAAACTTTAGTGGTAAAAACAACATCTCTTACAAATATTTTTCAGTTTTCAGTGCATTTAAAACTGTAAATAAACAGTCCTCTTTTTAGTTGGATAATTGGAAAAATGTATTTGTATTGTATTAGACAGACTTGAAATATGAAAGTGTACTCAAGCACGATATTCTCTTGTCAAACATACGCTCTGGGATCATGCTCACACATGAAGCTGATTTTAACAGATCGTTAAAGATCAAAGAACTGCCGATAAATACAAATTAGATATGTAATGAAGTAAAACAAAAAAATGGATTTTCTCAATGTAAGAAATGAGCAAATTAGAAGCACTACATTAATGAATATTTAAAATAGCACGTAAAAAAACTACAAGTATAACATGCTAATGAGCGATACCTTGTCGTGATGATTACAACGCGTTCCTCGATCTATTTCTTAGCACGTGCTTCAATGTGTTTCTATTTTGATTCTCATCAATGATTTTTTTCCTCTTATCATATCATGTTATTCATTATGATTAGCAAGTTTTTTTATACAGGTAAACTGTGTTAAAATGACAGGAGATTGGTAAAAATAATCCGAACGAAAATTAAATTGTTTGAAACTTTTAATAAAGAAATGGCATTATATCACAAATAAAAGTACATTTCCGTATAAATGTCCTATGACAAAGGTTTTAATATTATTTAGCCGTTAGCTTTATGTATTATTAAACATAATTTCCATTCTCGTCTTTTTATCATGAATTATAGAGTGAATATAAAAGTCATAAGTACGCGTCTCTCTTATTATCTTTCATTATTTTCGAAGCAGAAAAAGACAACGTTACATCAAAGTTTTTTAATTCAAAAAATAACGTAAATTGACCTCTTAGTCGCCATAATAAGATCATTTAGTATATTTACATGTAGAAACAATGCTAGGATATAGTTTATATGATAGCAAAACTCTTTCTACTGGCGTTCCTGGCGAGACAAGAAATAAATTGCTGTATAATTATGTCCCGGGGAATTTTAAATCCAAGAGGAAATGGGATGCGCGAACGTGAAAACATTTGATGCTTCTAGTCGGAGTATTTCCATAGAATCAAACATTTCAGTCATTGCATACTGAATTTGGGGTGATTACATAATAGGCATATTCAAATCAAATTTCCCTGTGCCTATTTCAAGATGATCTAGATGAACATTACATGTCTTTACAAATATATAAAGGGTGTACCAGTAATTTGATGATTCATGTTAACATTTTAGGTTTACTTGCAAAAAGATATGTTTTTATTAACAAGATTTCCAGAATTATTACTCTCCATTTTGCCCCAAATAAGAAATAATTACCCTTATAGCGCTGAATAATAACAATTGTCAAGCTTAAAAATATATGTTAAATTGAAATAAATGCATACCATATTCTTATATATTTTCTTTAAATTAAATTCTTGTTAAGAAAACAATACGTATTTAAATATGTATTACTTCATGTTTTGAGCCTTTTGAACATATGGTAACCGTCAATGTATAAAGATATCTGCTGATGTTTCAAAATTCATGATCAAAAGTTACATTAAGTTCGTAGTAATAAAGTTTGTCAATATCACAGAATCATACTAAATAGTCAAAATAAGATATCAATATCTCAACATAAATTACAAGTTTTGTGAAAGCAGGTTCAGCGACTGCTGATTCCCTATGTAAATATTAACGTACGCCGTTGTGGAGGGTCTTTGAACATTACAAAATGATCAGTTTTATGCAGTTAAATGAAAGATGAATGGATGAGTATTGAGTATGTGTGACAGATAGCTCCTCCTGTAGTCTACCCTCGAGATTTACTGTCTACAGATAATGTAATACGCTTAAATATATGATTAATGACCATGTGTTTATCTAATTAAAACTGAATTTAGATTGAGAAAAAACATTAAGTTGTCAGTGATATTCAATCAAATCGCAATTTACTTGAGTTTTGATGTGTCCCGGTGCTCATTATGTTTTGTATGATTTTAATAGTAAAATCAAAACTTTTTTAGATTTTTTTTCTTCAAAAATGATAACAGCAAATGGATGTTTAATACATTTTTCAAGTTATGGTTATTGTTATTTTTCTTTCTACACAAGTCGGGCATTGAACTGTTAAAAGGTCTGAAATGAATAATATCTCAATTTGTATAATTAACTTACATTTCGAAGATAAACGCTATATAAATATGTCAAATTTAATGTTGTGGTTTTAAGAAAATATTTTGTTTGCTGTTTGTATTCACTTTTCATTTTTTATCCTTGTACATGTTTATAAATTTTTGGTTTATCGGATATTTGGCATTTCAAATCATTTTTACCATTCACGAGAGTACCCATTATATTATTATATAATATTTTCAACTGAGAAAAAAAGAACTTATAAATATAATACTATTAAATAAAAGCATAGTTTTCATGTAAAACATCGATCATTACATATTTCCACAATAGTCTGATTTTTGCCAAGACTATCATTATATGAAATAAAAGACAGGCAAAAACCTGAATAGCACAATATCAATACTAAGATGTATATCTATCTCGGCCTAATCCTCGAAACGACGCGAAGAACTTTACTTGATCCTGGGATAATATCCAGAAAATCTGAAACATGAAGGCATCTTGATCTATCTAATGGATCGCTAATTGCTCGCATTTCATAGTTTGTTTTAACCATTCGAATCATGCATTCTTTGTAAAGAGAAAACTAAGATCCTGTCATATAACGGGGGATTTATTTAAGTTATCAGCAGGAAATAATTTGATGAGGGCATTAAATGAGAATAACCACAATAGAAATATCAAGTTGTTTTCAAAATGTTT